ATATTTGTTCAATTTCTGTATTATCTAGTACTAGCTTAACTTTGATGTTTTGTGCTTTTGTAAATACCATGAACTTGGTTTTCTTCAAATTGATTTTTAGTCCATAATCGTTGCAATATATATTTAGTTGTTCAGCAAGGTGTTGCAGTTCTTCTAGTGTTCCTGCCAGAAGGACGGTGTCGTCAGCATATCTTATGTTATTAAGTGGCTCACCGTTTATTATAAGGCCCTCACTGATCTCGGCAAGCGCTAATTCTGAGATGGCTTCACTGTATAAATTGAATAACAAGGGTGATAAAATACACCCTTGGCGGACCCCACGGCGAATCTGGATATCCTTGGTCAGTTCGTTTTCAACTTTCACTTTTGCTGTTTGATTCCAATAGAGGTTACAGATGATTCTAATGTCTCTACTGTCTATGTTTTTATTGTTATTAGATACGCTGATGACTTTGTAATATTCGCTACAAGTTTTAAAGAACTACAGACCATGATGACACAACTACTTCAAACTTCGGAAAAAGTAGGCCTTAAGATGAACTTGGAAAAAACAAAAATAATGACGAATACACCGAACATTAGAGAAATAACGTTGAACAACATAAATTTAGAAACAGTAAGCGAACACATCTACCTGGGACAGATAATGAAGTTAACAAAAAAAAACCAAACTGCCGAAATTAGCAGAAGAATAAGGTTAGCGTGGGCAGGATTTGAAAAACTGAGTTGGATCTTGAAAAGAACTAAAATAGAACAATATTTGAAAACCAGAATTTACGATCAGTGTATCCTCCCTATACTCACGTAGGTTCACAGACGTGGACACTCACCAAGTCTAATATGGATAAAATAGTAAAAGCACAAAGAGCGATGTAAATATGAATGCTCGGGGTGAGACTTATAGACAAAAAAACAAACAAATAGATTAGAAGCAAAACCAAAGTAGAATACGCAGGAGAACATGCTGCCAAATTAAAATGGAGCTTCGCAGGACACACTTACTTTATCGTGTCCGGACATGTCATTCATAAAATTTCGGCCCAGTATCGGGGTACGTCGGTTCCATCTTTGTTGGCGAGCCACAAATCTTCAAGGGTACATCGATGAGGACAGTTTCTGCATGTAAGAAGATGTTCCATATTCTGTGTTTCTCCACAGTCATAGTCATCTTGGTCTATTTTTCCCCATTTTGCCATGTTTGATTTTACTGTAGCAACCCCCGTTCTTATCCTATTCAAGGTTTTTCCACGTTTTAAAGTCTAGGGTCTGGCCGGTCCATTGAACCCGAGGAAGTGGAAAATACTCAGGCGGTTTATCCTGCACTGTTCCAAGGAAGCTTTTCCTAGATTTTAGTCGCTTTCGTGGTGTTCGAGCTTTGTATAGGGCATGCCGATCGTCCGCGACCTGTTTAATTTTCTCTATGTGTTCTGCAACGCCTCTGCGTGTTGAGGGTTCTGCAAAACCCGCTGCTCTATATAGATTTCGTGCCTCAAACGAGGCACGCATATTCAGCAGTTGAGAAACACAGTGCCTGTGCCGTTGTTCTTAAAACGCCAGGACGTGCGCACCATTTACTTCCCGTTAGCTTTCTGAGTATGCTGTTCCTAGTTGTTACTTTCGCGCTTGTTTTTATGCAATGTTGTCTGTAGGTGAGGGACCGGTCCAGAGTTACTCCAAGAAATATAGGTTGGTTTGTGTGTTCTACTGTATTACCATTCCACACAATTTGGAGTTTTCGCTTGGCTTCCTTTGTGCGAAGGTGGAAAGCGCAGACTTGGGTTTTAGAGGGATTGGATCTCAGAGAATTTTGCAGGTAGTACGCTGTCATTGTTTTTAAGTCAGTTTCGAGTTTCTCCTCCACTTCTTCAAAACTATTTCCTTGAGCACATATTGCAAGATCGTCAGCATAGAGGAAGTGCTTGGTTTCGGTCGGAGTAGGTTGGTCGTTTGTGTATATATTGAAGAGCATTGGTGCTAAAGCACTTCCCTGTGGGAGGCCGTTTTTTTAAACTCTCCACCTACTTAGTTTACCCTCCAGCATAACGAAAAAACGTCTATTTTGCAGTAAGGAATATACGACCTTTCCCAGATGGTGGTCATTGAGAGTGTCTATAATTTGCGGCGCAATGTTTTGTGCCTTACTGTGTCCTAGGCTGCTGTCAGATCTACAAAAGCAGCCCCTGTTATAAGTTTTTCTTCAAAGCCCTCTTCAATGTGTTCTGTTAATGCGAGGACTTGACCGGTGCAAGATTTGCCAGGTCTGAATCCTCCTTGTTGTGGGATGAGGTGCTTGTCGACATTTTTTTCTATTCTGGCGAGTATGAGTCTCTCGTATAGTTTAAAAAAGTGTCACAATAGCGAAATAGGTCTGTAGCTACTGCAGGACACAATACCCGACTGAAGGATAAGAGATGAAACCACGAAATACAACAATGGAGATCATGGTTAGGAAAAAGAAGCAGAGGAAGACTACAAATGAGATGGGCGGATGAAATTAAGAAGATCGGAGGACACAACTGGACAAGTGGGGCAAAATAGAAGACACTGGATTGATTTGGGGGAGGCCTATGTCCAAAGTTGGATTATTTAAGGCTAAAGAAGAAGAAGAACTACTTTAAAAAGTATTCCTTACAAATATTACACACTGTGTAAGCACATTGTAAATTTGTCTTACGTCTTAAAATTAGTGAAATAATTCAGTAGTTACTACATTTTGTAGTTGAACCTTTCTTAGATTTCTAATTAGAGTAAATATCCATCTTTATCTTTGCGACATCTTCGTTGAATTCTGTGGACAAGATTTTATAATTATTTAAATCATAACTGCAAATTTCATGTTGCATTCTTTGTTTTATAGTTTCCCATTTTGGTTACTGATCCATGGTTACGGCTACTGCTTCTTGCGAATTGACGACATAGATTAGCTATATCTAATATAGCTCGTTTAAAATTCCACCATATATATATTCTTTGGGGATATAACTCAATATCTTCTTTAAGTGTACCGATTGTCTCACTTAACACAGAGTTCATTCTCTCTTTGAAAGCTACCAGTTCAGTCTCAGTTAACCTTTTGACTGCCACCCTCAATAAGATGTTAATTTCCATATGCCAGCGGAATATTAGACCCATAAAATGAAATTGAAACAAGGTTTACCAAAACGTGGGAGCCGCGTTGTAAGCAGTCAGTAGGTTAAGAAGCCTTTTATGTTTCTCATATAGAGCTGGAATAAAACAGTAGATAGCTTTTAAAGGCAAAGTAATCCCCATCGAGATTAAGGCCCGGCGCAAATTGAGCACAGCCCACGCACATCCCACGCGTGGGTTATTTTGTAAAACGTGGTTTTAGACGAAGCGACGCATATTAAACCCAAACCACGACCAGACTTGGATGGCGTGGATAGAGTTGTGCTAGCAACACAGTTTCGTGGGTCGTGGGTCTCTACCTAACCTTAGTTATGATGTCATTTTCTGTACTGAACGAAGAGTTCCCAAACGTAAAAAAATAAAATTTGTAGAATTCTTTTTAAAAATTGGTAGATTGTGTAGTAAATCGGTAGATCTTTCAAAATATTATATTTTGTTTAAATTTCATAATGTTTTGCAATTCGTTTATTTAAGAAAAAATAAAATATGTTTTAAAAACGTGTAAAAAAACACTGAAATTTAAATCTTTAAATGAGTCTGTGACTAGGAATCGAATACTTATCTGAGAACCGAAACCTCGAGTATAAAACCCTTTTACAAGGAAATATTATACAACAAACAGACTACCGAGTTTTTACGTGAGGTGCACTCGGAAGCTTATATTAATTTATGCGTTGTTCCGGTTTTTAGTTTCCTAACTTGACAAATTCCCAGAACCAAGCGGTCGGGATCACAATGGATTTGGATTCATTTATTGTTTTATTAGCTTTTATGAGATCATGTAGTTTGTAAAGTACCGCTTAGGTATCATTTAAGAACAAATACTGCGAATACTGCGAAGAATATAAATATTTGACATGGGCGTGGGCTGTGTTCAATATGCGTTATTATTGAAAAACGTGTACTTGGACATTGGACCATACGTGGGCTGCGCGTGGGATGTGCATGGGCTGTGGTCAATTTGCGGCGGGCCTAATGCACTTTTGTAGTCACTTGAATGAACTCTGGGAATAATCATCTGGATTTTGGTATAGTCTCGTTTTGAAGGTATCGACTGCATTTTTTTATGATCAGAATCTATGCTCACTTAGTCTGTAATTGATTCTTGAAAAAATAAAAAAAAATGGCACTTAAGTCGAGACTGTGAAATAGATGATCTAAAAATTCCATATTTTATTGCGTTAAAAATTCGATAATCTTGTGATACTAGGTATTCTGTTTTGACACAAATGGCGCGGTCATCTTTTTAAAGACACTTCGAAAACGAATAACTTTTTTCGGCCTTCTTTATGTCTGATCATTCGGATTCTGAGCTCAAGTTTGATCCCGCAAAATATATTTTCATGTTCATGAGTGTTTTCCTAACTTGTTCTATTCTTGATAGAATTTCTTCTTTTCTTTTTTCTTCTAGATAGACTTCGCAAGTCTCTAAGTATTTTCGTACTAAATATCATAATGGTCGTAACATACCGATAAAATTATTTACGTTTTAATTTCGTGAAAAAATTTAAGGAAAATTTTTAAAGTGAAAAATAGTTTCATTCAACTCGTCATTTCAAATTCATTACAAAATTTAAACTATTGACTAAATTTTCAGGGCAAATTGTCTTCTGAAATATGTGTAAGAAAGTTTTTCAAATATATATCACACTTAATTCAACCAAAATTATTTTGAGATTATCTTCAGTGTTGAGTATCCTTCAACAGGATTCTTCTTATTCTTCTTTTTTATTAAAACTGTTATTTTAATGTCAGACAAAGTTTATAAGAAGTTTTGTTTTACACTTTCTAATGTAAGAAATTGTTGAATATTTTTTTATAAAGCTCATCAATAATGTTTATATAAAACTTACCTGTTTCATCACCTATAGCCCACACTAATAAATCTACACAGGCCGCATTGGCCATTACATTTAATTTGAATTTGTTCACTAAAGCATAGTTGTTTTCTCTATCTTCTTTTTCGCTTGCATCATGGTTTCTACTCTGTAATTCCGTCTGGCCATTTAAGTAGAGTCCTTAAAAGTAAACAAAATTATTACGGTTAACCTTAAGGCCGATCCTCGCGATTCTGGGCATAGGTAAATTCCAATGTAAAAGTTTATATCAAATAACGCAAAAACTATGGCAGATATTGAGATGATTCTTTTTTTATATGGAAGGTCTAAAAAAGTTCTAGTGCACTATTTGGTTGTAAATTAATAAATTGTTTAAACAATATTTTTTTTTCAAATATTTTTGGTTAAAATAAACGAAAAAAAATTTTTTTTTAAATAGGGCACTACAGAATTTGACCCACTTCCCGAATCTGTTTTTATTTTTAACATAAAGTGTAACACAAAGCAGCTATTTGATATAAACTTTTAAAAAATTTCAAATTTTTGCTAAACGCAATTTTCTCTCCGTCAGCACAGGGTGTCCTTGTCGGTAGCTTCTGGATTCTCGCCAGGTAGGTAAAACCCTCGGAGGAGGATAAATAAAGTTGAATAACATTATTAGGGCTTATTCCGACTTTTGACAAACCAGTGTGTTTATTGGATTTAAAATAGGAAATGTTATATAAATAAGCAGTAAGTACCTATGATTTTATTAAATTTTTATACGAATAGAAACATTTTCTGTTGATTTTCCATTTTCTTTCTAAATATTTATACTGTTTTTATAATAATACAATTGTTTCAGTATTTGCTTATATAATAATAATTTATTATATAGAAACAGCGTAGAGTTTTGGTCAATCATCCAGTACATTTTTTTTGTATTTCAATCAGAATTATTATTTTCTTTTCTTCTTTACATGAGCTCAGAGTAATAACCAAATTTGCAGTATTTGAATATGAAATTTAATTATTTATATTTATTGGTTAGCAACCTACCAATCGTAAAATCAAATACTGCTCAAAGAAACAATGTACCGTCTCGGAACCGGATTGATACTATGAAGACGACTACGGCAAGAAATAAGGACAAGCGAAAAACATCCAAAACCCAGATGAGAATTACTTGGAATATCAGATCACTCAACTCAAGGGACCAAGAAATAACCCAAGTGTTGAAAGAGAAAGAAATAGACATTTGTGCTCTACAACAAACAAAAAATAAAGGAAAAGGTCAATCAAAATTAGGTGAATACATACTAATCTACAGTGGAGTAGCAAAAGAAAACAGGGCCAAAGAAGGTGTAGCCTTACTAATACACCAAAGGTATCAAAATTACATCAAAGAGTGTCAATACATATCAGAAAGAATAGTAACATCAAAGATAAGAATGGAGAAGGAAAACCTGAACATTATCGGAGTATACGGCCTAGAAAATAATAAGCCTCAAACAACAAGGGAAGTGTTTTACGACCAATTACAACAAGTAGTAGATCAAGTCAAAGAAAAGATGATAATTCACAGCTAATTTGATTATAATAATTAAGGAACCTCATTTTTTGCCATGTTAAGGAATGGGATTTGTATTTTTTGTTAAAAAATTTGCACAAACATTGTACCTCTACAGGACCCCTACGAATTTTCAAAAATGTAGTTCAAATGGCGACTAGGAAGAACCTACAAATCCAAACCGAACAAGCAATTTCAAACTAATAAAATTTTCTATATCTCCGGATCTACTCAATGGATTTTGATCATTCTTATTTTTTTATTTTGTATGATCTATTTTTAATTTGTATGTAATTTCTACGTACATTAGGAATTAGTAATTTGTTTATATATTAATTCATTAATAAATAGTCTAGTTTGTTTAAACAATTCGTGCAAAACAATTTTCTTCCAAAAATCTATTTTTTTTAATACTCGTATCAATAATCATAGAAACAGTCGCGTTTTTTGCATTAAATTGTCAATAATTAAAAAACAGCTCCAAATTCAAGGCAAAAAAAGAAGTAGGTTTTCTTCCTAGAGGTCTACAATAACTAAAAAAGTTGTCAGCGACCTGGATTATTGAGTGTCACGAACATGGTCTATTTTTTGCTTATTTCCCTGGAGTATATATTTGATTAACATCTGTGTAATTTCTTTGTCGCTTCCTCGCTGGTTTTGCATATTGCTATGATAGCAATATCTTCGGTAAATGTTGCAATTGTATATTTTCTAGGACAATAATATAACACGTATACAAAAGGTAAAGACACTTCTTTGTGGCAGCCCTGCTGTAATATCTGTCAATTCCATGTATGTTTCTTCCTGTTTAATTCTGAAATATCTTTCCAAGATGCAGGAGTCAATTATTTGAGACTATCGTTTTGGTAAATGTAGTCTTAGTTTATAGTTATGGCGTCTTTGCCATACTTTATCATATACCTGAGTCACATCCTATTTTATTGATATAAGGTTGAATGCTCCAATAAATGAACTTTAAAAAATGAAGGCAAATTTCGAGCACAAATTTAATAATCAAATCTTGCCCAAGTACTTTCGCTTTCTACAGCATCATCAGGGGCATCTGCGCTTGCTGGATAGACCAAATTTGACGAAGTAAGTCTAAAATGTTAATCACAAAAAACTTTTATCATCCATTAACTTCGAGTTTTTTATCGAAGTTTATTAATTTTCTTCATTTAAAAAAAACTTTTCTTGGCTTATTTCAGATTCCCCTGATGATGCTGTAGAAAGCGAAAGTACTTGGGCAAGATTTGATTATTACATTTGTGCTCGATATTTGCCTTAATTTTTCAACGTACATCCTAAAATGTCAAAATGTCCATCATATTATCCTTCATGATCCATATTTCACATCCATATAAATAGTTATACAGTATATTTCATCATCATCATCATCATCAATGGCGCTACAACTCTTCGTAAGTCTTTGCCGCGGTTACTATTGCCTTCCATGTTTGTCGGTCCTGTGCCAGTAATTCCCATTGTCGCACTCCCATTTTCTCTAGATCTAGGAGTATATTTACATATAACAAATTAAATCCTTAGTTGTAAATTTTTGAAATAAGTACTCAGTATACATCTAAGTTTTATAAATGCTCCTCATAAATCTCATAAATCTAAACTTTTGTACTCCGTTCTTTGTTGACAATTAGTTGCATAGGGCCGACGTTTACTAACCACAAGCACACAAGTAAATTATCTTATTTCTTTCATTTGACAATAATAATTGTCTGTTAGATTAGCACTGTAAGAAGTAAATTAGTCTCTTACTGAATGATAATAAACAACACATCAAACTTATTCTGAAACTATTTCTTGTGTCATGGTATATTTTATTAGATTTTGGTGTAATAAATCACAACCTATCAAATTCAATATCAAAAATCAAAATTGGAAATGATAGCGTGACTAAATTATTCCTTCATTCAAGAAATTTTAAAAAGAACTGATTTCTATTACTATTCAGTGCAAGGACAGTTATTTTGTTATTTATATCGAATAGAGAATACTGTTAGTTTGCGGTATGGACCCCAAAAAATATTTTATTCGAAAAGATTGATAAATATATGGAACTGTGGGAAAATATGCTACAAAAATTTCAAGATTTTTATTATAATTTTTATTTGAAACACCTTCTAAAGAAACATTAGACATAATTCTATATTTATAATATAGTTTCATTTTATCAATTTTAATGATCGTGATACTAATTAGATAAGATTTTTATTATAATTTTTATTTGAAACACCTTCTGAAGAAACATTAGACATAACTCTATATTTATATCGTTTCATTTTATCAATTTTAATGATCGTGATACTAATCAAATTTTTATGATATATAATAATAATCTTTTTTTTTATAATTTTTATTTTCCGTAAACTTTAATCTACGTTAAACTTCAGACAGCCAATTTTTCCGTAAAAAAAATAACAAATAAATTATGTATGTACATTTGTTACATTGTAAATTTATGAATAGATTATATTACTTTGATCTGTTATTATATTTACTCAAAATACCACTAAAGAGATTTATGGTCTTATTGTAAGACAAAACCTGTCACTGCAGGGGTTGTCTCGGTGTATAATCGGCTCGAGTAAAAGGTAAACGCATTTTTGACCTGGGCTTGAAAGAGATCTAAACGAAGTTTAGAATATTACTTCATGAACAGATTTTGTTTTCGTAAAGAAAGAAATTTTTGAAATAGAGATAGCAAACTGAAATTTACCGTTAGAATATTCGAGGATAAGCCTTAATAGCAATAGCTTTACAGTATTTATGCACATCTGATAGTCCAATGTACCATGGTTTTTAACTGCGAATTCCATCATTTATAAAAATGAAAAACTTTTTTACTCATCGTGACCTTTCTGCGAACTTCAGATAAGATGATATTACCTATTATATTTTATTGTATGGGTAGAAAAGCTGGTCGCGGAAAGTGACCATATAATATAAACTCTTAGGTCAACTAATCAACACAGACATCTACTATATTTTACTACTTTTACCCAGTACTACTATTTTTTTTAAGAATTAATGCTGCCACATTATAACATTTCTCGAGGAATCGATTAAGTTTATCGCTATCCTCTTTTTACTACATATTTGAAGTTTTTTTGTTTATCTTACCTTTAACAAATTCTTGTACGTCTTTGGTAAACGGCACCGGCAAATCTTTTTGAGGCTGCAGCAATTCTCTCATAAGTGTCACCATAACCAGATTAACCGTTTCAGAAAAGGATTTGTAAGGAAATATCTGAATTTTTCCAGTCGTACTGACCTCCAAGCTCAGTTCATCTAACATACTTAAAATGTCTTTAGTTAATAGTGATTTACTAAGAGTGAGAATAGTTGTGAGGTGATTTTGAGGAAAGATCACCTGGGGTTTCTTGTCGTTCGTTTCGTTTATTCGTAAATGCGGGAATTGGTTGAAACTCGAACCGAATTTGGCAAAAAAATATGTCTTTGCGTCGTATGGACCTGTATTGTATAATATTGATGAGCCTTTTTTTAAAGAATTCGAGTTGTATGCCACATCGTTCATATCGTATCCACCCTAAAATCATTTAAATAAAGTTAGATTTTATGAAATGGCATCGACCAGTTCTATGTAAACTACTGCAAAGATTCAGTACAGTTCTGTATAAGAAAATATATTGTATGAAGCTGAAATAGAGGTATATAAATCTTCAGATAGCTAATTTAGACAGTTTTTATTACATTCATTAAATAATATATTGTTACGAAAGTTCCGTAAGATCTATCCCACATAAAAAAGTCCCTTAACGAAAAAGAAGAAGTAGTTAGAGAACATTCAAGATTTTTTTTATTGTTACATTGCATGTTTACAATTTACTCTACGCACAGTATCGAAGACGTAGTATGCTGTTGTATATTATTGTTAATAACACCACCGCTTTTCTCGGTTGCTTCTGAAGTAATTCTCCTGTTATCAAATCATAGCGAGAAACTTTCTTAGAATTTAGCATTTTTATTTGTTGTCGAACCTCTGTCGGATTAAACGTTGTCAGATAAGGAAGATATAGTTGACATGGAGTTTAGAGGTACATTCTTACATCACCATCTTCATCGTTATTAGTATCTGGTGCTGCGAATACACTTGCAAGATGCTCTGCGAATACTATTGTTTTTGCTGCGTTTGTGCGGACCCAGGTAATATCTGTTTTGATTAAAGGTAAATTGGTTATTGTCGGTCGTTTAAATTTTTTAGTAGCTTTCCATATAGAGTGGTCTTCATGTGAGAGGTTCGAAACATATTTTTTTTTATGAAATGCTCTATTTAGTCTACGACATATCCTGTTAAGGTACGTTTTATTTAGTGGATTTCTCGTATGTTGCCATATGCGTCGAGCTCTTCTCTTTTCTGCTACAAGTTCTCTTATATGAAGGAGGATATTGTTTCCTTGCGCACTTCTTCGAACATTCAAGATGACATCGACAATTCATGAAATGTCTAGTGAACTTTGGAACGTCAGAAAATGTATATAAACAGATGTTTTTGACAGTTTGTAACAGTAGTAGCACAGAATACACCACCCAACAAGAAACGAAAGCTTTGTCGGTACCTTTGATGTTTGTAGGACAGAAATTTCGGAGGGAGAATGACAGTTGCACTACTTAGTACACAAAGAAAAGTAATGAGGAAGTCGTTCTAAACAGTAGAAAAAGTTTTAGCTACACTGAGAAACAAAGTAATTATTAAAACTAATGTTTTTAAATAGATATGTTTTGTATGAATTGTATTTTTTTCTGTAAAATTTAATATAACCCATATATCAATTCTGTACTGATAAGTAAAAAGGTCGTAAGTCAAAAATATCGATGTTTTTTTAACAAACAAATTAATGTATTAAAAGAATTTTAGTACATTAAAAAACCGATTGAATGTGAGAGTTAATTTCAAAATAGAGATGAAAGTCAGTCGATTTCTATTACTTTTTATCGATTTATTAATATATATATATATATAATATATTATATATATATATATATATATATATATATATATATATATTATATATATGTATATACAAAATATGTATAACAGTATTATTCTTTGTTATTATTATATTATATTCATTGTTATATTCAGTATGATTCTTTTTTTACTATTAAACAACACACACATGTATCACTTCAAAATACGTAAACAAACTTCAGTTTTTATAGGTTGACAGATAAACTATTTAGAACATGGCGGATTCTCAGAAATTTGGATTGCGAAAAAGCCCTTCGTTTCGCTTCTTGTTGGATGGTTTATTCTGTGGTAGTAGTATTTAAGTTTTTGAAGTTTCTCGTTCCCTCAACTCAACCACTTTTAGCATTTTTATTTCACCCTGTAAATCCTAAGCACCGAAAATGGTTTATATTCCTTTTGCGTTATAAAATTATTAGAATTAACAACTTTGGATTCTTTAACTGTCTCACTTTTTAATTCGTTTTGTCTCAGCTCCGTCTATAGAGATTTTAAAATATGCTGATTCTCCAAACAGTTATCGACGCATGGAATAAATAAAAACTCACATAAAGGAATCTTTACTTATTCTCGTAAGAGAAAGAATTTTTAGACCGCGTCACGTCCATTTTAACCACTGTCCACATTCCACTGAAAACAGTAAACACGATAAAAACCTGTGAAATGGGAGTTGAAGTGTAAACAGACGTATACCAAATTAAATGTATTCGCTGTAAAATAATCACTGTAAAAATTTATTCGTAGAATTCATACTGCACCGGAAAAAGCATTCAAATTATTGTTTTAATTAAAATGGATTTAGTCAGCGAACTTTTGCTAGAAGACTTGCTGTGACACGTGGAGTAGTGCGAAGGGACTGCGAAAGATATAAGATGCATGATTCTTCATCGTTACCCTGAAACAGGTAGAAAGCATAGCGTTGTACAACCGAACGTAACGACCACTTCATTGTATAAAGTCGTTAAGGAACTGTTACCTTTTGCAATAACAGCTCCGTGAAGTCAAAACACTAAAGGTTAATGAGTGGACAGTAAGATGCAGAGGTTTGCATAGTGTTACGTTAACACCTTCGCTGCGATTACGAAAAATTAAATTATTATGTTGTATGCTTACCAGTTGTAATTGACTGGTACTGTAGAATTCTTATTTAGATACACCAGTCCCAATAAACTGGTAGTTCTTAAGAAATTGTGATCTATCTCTAAATTTTTAAAGATTTATGTGTATTAATAGTTTTATACATACAAAGAACATACATACGTGCTGGAAACTGTATCAGTTTCAGGCTCCTTTTGGTAAAGCAAAACTGTAATTTTTAAGAAGTGCATAATATTTACAAGTAAAATAAAACCAAAACTTTTATTGAGAACAAAATACATATTATTACAAAAATAACAAATGCTAATTATTAGTAAGTATAAGTTTTAAAATTTATGCATTGTGTTTAAAATTAAGACATGGTAAACATAAAGCAGGTTTGTCCTCGCATATGCTACACGATGTAGTAACTTTAATGACCTTTTTATCAGTTTCTTTACTTTTCATTGTTTCCTTCAGCTTCTTGTAACATTCCATACAATTTCGCCTTTTTTGGTACCAGATAATTCGGGTTTGTTTTCTCGAAACTGATTTTATATTCGTCATTATCTGAATTAGTTGAACATTCATAAGGAGCGTAATTAGAATCACAGTCCAAATTGTCGCTAAATGGTTCTTCCTCTGATTCGCTCAAACTATTTATAATTGTTTCTTGGTGCCGCGCCGGTCCAATTTCTGATTGGGGTCTGCACAACTACCAGTTGTAGTTGTATTTTGCAACTCCAAATGTACTAATTTAACAGTGCTACTCATTTTACTCAATTCTTATAAAAATATTTTAAATACTGCTCGACAGAGATAACTAAACTAAACGTAATTACAAATGAAATTACTCACCAGATGAATTCAACTGGGAATCCAACAATGAAAAATAAATAACTTGTATGCGTTACCACTCGAATACAACTGGTACTAAATTATCCCTCTATTAGATAGATCTCTTTCAGATAATAATTAGGTACCTATAATGTTAGTTTTTACCAACGCGTTTCGTTTGTACGTTACTCGCCAGATGGAAATATATATTGATTTTTAGCCGTAATTTCTGCAAACGTAGTTACCAGTCTTTTTCAACTAGTGGCACAGTGAATGTGTAAGGAGCGGATTGGATGTGACTGCAGTTCGTGCATGGTATGGAGTGAAATTTAAATGGATTCACGAACGGACTTTGTTTTCATCACTAGGCCTAATCGTGGTCGCAACAGTCCTTCGGTATAAGTATGTATTGAGGAATTTCTAAGAATTGATGTGGTAAATTACATCAGTTATATTGGAAAAAACTTTAAGAGAAAACTATACATGATCATGCAAATCGAAGTGAGGATGAGTGAAGCTATAGTGGAATTTGTGATGTTTCCTATAACATTGACAACCCTGCCACTTTTCCAAAGCTGTTTTCTCAATAAATACTCCCTTTAAATTAGACTCCATTTCTCCGTTTACAAAGTGGATGATGACAATGATGTCATCATGAAGTAGTAAATATTAAGACAAATGTGTTTTTAAAAAGTTCCTATGATAGGATTTTTGATATGAATAAATTTTTGAATTTTGTTTTCTGCTATATTAAGAGTGTCGTAATACACATAATACTTACCGCAGTAACTGCCAAAATATCAACAGTAGCGTGTAAATTTCCTGATAAACTCCTTGGAATGATATTTCTAAAGCTACTGAAGCTCCTTTTATAAATATTTTGCTCCCTTGCAGCTCCTGGGCTTAATGGCGGTTCTGGTCTTGGAAATATTCGACAAATCAACGGTGGATCGCTTGTACAGAATCTTCCCATTGCTCTTGCTAAGCCTATAAGAACAGGCAGAGTAGTTTTGCACAGAAATAAATTGCTGGCACTGTTTCGGTTGTTTGCATCTTGCATCTTCAGCACTTGGTTTGTTAAATAAACGAGGCTGTCCACCTGGGTATTTATAATGTCGTTTATGCTGTCCTCGCATTTTACAGCTATATCACTGAGAAGAGTGTGGAAACAAAAACTAAATTTTTCCGCTGTTGGTATTCCTAGAAAGAAAAGAGATGTTAATCCTAAGAACACAGATCAATTGGATCTACGAAAAGTTCACTTTAATAATCATTAAAAATTATCATGAAAGTGTATATACTCTGAGAAAAACGATTTCTTAAAAATATGGTTTGATTTATAACTCTTGGAGCAGTTTCTTGAGGCCATTAAAATATTTTTCTCATATTCGAATACAAAATAATTGTATCATTTTTGGATGCAACGCTTTTGGTTGGTTCCTTGATTTCGTCAAAAACTATTGTCAAAGAAATTTATATCTTATTCTATTCTGTATTTTATTTATTAAGATGACTGAAACATTTAAAGACATTCACAAAAAGAAATAGATGTTACAAAACAGTAATAAAAATATACTTAGGCAGAATTCAGACATTTTTTTAAGATCTGTAGGTAGGTGGCAATCAGTAGGAATTTTAATCAAAAATAAAGAAAATAAACTGGATAGAAAAAAATGGAAAGTACAAAAGCTGAGAGATGCGACAATTACAGAACGGTACACGGAAAACATCACCAATCGATTAAGGATAGGGATGTGTAGTTCATCATCGAAATAGTTCAAATAAACGATTCTTTCAGCTGAACTAATTGAACTAGTTCATTAATTTTTATAGAACTATTTCACTGCGAACGATTTGCATTATAAATTGTGTCTCAACTTCTAAAGAAGAAAATAATGAATGAGATCATATATTTATTATTTTGTGAATGGGATGGACTGAGTAGTTTAAAAAAGTTTCATTCTTAAATGTCTTGATAAATTGTCCAGTGAACCACTTGCAATACTAATATCGCATGAACAGTAATTACATTTTGCAAATTTTTGAGTTTTATCTTTTTTCTCGAAATGATCACATAAAAAACTTCTATTTCGTCTGTTACCATCTTTTGGGATTGATTAAGGAAAGAAATTATTATAAAGAAAAACTAACTAATCATATAATAATTTAAAACATTTAAACCTAAACACACAATCGAAAGAAATGGTTCCGAATCCGAACTACTTGTACGCCGTACGGTAGTGAAACACTGACTGAAAACAGAAGAAAACGGGCGGCCGGTGCCGAGCTTGTGACGAGACATCTGGCAACCAGTTATGTTAGGGTTGGATTTCGATTTCGGTCCTACAAATAGTTCTTTCGTGAACTAGTTCATTTTTGTGAAATAGTTCTCTTGAACTAGTTCGTCTAAAAGAACTAATAGGCACACCTCGACTAAGGAATCAAAATGTAAATGAAGAAGGTCAGACATATGTAGACTCCTACTGGACCAGAATAAAGGAAGAAATTGAAACAGCAGCAAACGATGAAATAGGAACAGAAAATTGTGCCCGTAATAATCATTGGTTTGACGATGAATGCACGAATGCAATAAAAGGAAAAATAAAGCCTAAAGAAAGATGCTCACCTGATGAACTAGAAAAACTGCTGAGAATTACAGGACACTACCAGACAAAGAGAAGAGAAAAAAAGAGGATAAGCAACAAAAGAAAAAATCGAAACCACTTAAATAAGGAACTTAAGAGGAACCACTAAGGATTCTTGAAGTTCAAGATGTAATTAAAAAACTAGCCAGAAACAAATCGCCCGGAATAGATCTCACAGCTGAACTATATAAAGGGGGTGACCACGATACCATAACGGCACTAGAGTAGCTCATAAAAGCAACATAGGCACAGAAATCCCCCAGTGATTGGACTACTTTGCACCATACACAAAAAAGAAGATATCTTTGAATGCTCTAACCACAGAGGAATTACGCTTCTAAATGCAGCGTATAAAATATTTTCCGCAGTAGTATGTCACCGTATGGCACCATATGCAGAACGGATATTAGGAAAATACCAGGCTGGTTTGAAAGGTGGTAAATAGACACGTCATCAGATTGCAACCCTGAAACAAATTTTATAAAAAACACTGGAATATGCCATAAATACTCATCACATATTTATAGACTACAAAGTAGCCTACGACTCTGTGCATAGAAGAGAAATATTTAAAGCAATGAAATAGCTAGGAATACCAAATCAATTGGTAAATTTAACAAAACTAACTCTTGAAAAAATTGAATGTAGAGTACGAATTCAGGGAAACTGTCTGAACCTTTTAAAACAAATAACGGGCTGCGCCCTTAGAAGACCTTCTCTGATTGGTCCAGTAATCAGTCGCTCCTGTTCAATGTTCACAAAACTAAATTTTTATCATTTACATTCCGTTCAAATTCTACCAAACCTAATTTAAGTATTTCCATCAATGGTGAGGATATTTTAAGTTGTAGTGATGTGAAATTTTTTGGAGTGACTTGAGTTACAATATAACTGTCTGGGGTGGCTCTTCTAGTATAAAGGACGTTTTCAAGGCCCAAAAGCGTATTATTAGATGTATTGTAGGTGTTCCGTATTGTTAGTCTTGTAAAACCCTATTTAGAGATTTAAATATATTAACAGTGTATGGAATTTACATTTTGGAATAATTGATACTAATTCATAAAAATAAAAGAACTTTTTTATGTAACAGTGATATTCACTTACACAACACAAGAAATAAGAGACAGTTGGTAGTACCCTATCGACATTTAGAAATAAGTAGGAAATCATCTACTGTCTGTGGTTTACTACTGTATAATCAACTTCCTCAAAAATTTAAAAACATTAATTCAACTACAGCTTTTAAAAACCAAGTCAAAGTGTACCTAGTGACCATGTATCCTTATACACTAGGTGAATATTACGAGAGTGTATCTGTGAATGCCCAAGCTGCAATATAATCAAATTTAATATTATTTTAATTATATGTCTATATTGTATGTTTTTATGTATTTTAATGTTTTAAATATTTTTAGTGTATTATTTCCATTTTTTTGTAATGTTTAATATATAATTTTAGTTTTGACTTGCTGTAAACCTTGTTGTAACTTACAGTCAAATAAACTATCTACCTATCTATCTATCTCATATACCTTTTAGAACCTTTAAATACTTGTATAAGATTTTTCAGCTTTTTTCCCTAAAAGGGAATTTGGATATTCATAAAAAGTAAAAATTTTAATGATAATAATTACATGTTGTCAATTTAATGTTGTCTGATTATATTTAACGTTTAACTCACAGAACAACATGGATATCTATTAAAGTAGATGTTTTTTTTGCATTTACCTTCATAGAAATCTATAAATTATAATGTCGCTAAAACATGTATGATGGATATACTCATTTGGTAAAAATAATTACGAATTTAATTATATAGACACAGGAAAGTGGTTATTACTTCATTAACATAATGACAAAATCAGTGTAGAATGTCCTTGAATAAAATAAATTAAATAAAATTATGGTAAAGCAAAATATTTCATGTCTATGAATCATTATCTGCATTGTATAAAACCTCATAACTTATGATAAGAATGGTTTTTATAATCATTTCTGTTATAAAAAAACCATTTTAAATTTGATATCAAAATTTATTCAATAGATGTACTGAATATAAATACCAGGATCACTTCTCTACATTTAGACAAGTATAATCAGAAAAAAAAATTTTTGTATCGTAATATACATGGAAAATACATGATTTATTAATATATGAAGTAAAAAAAAATCACTGTGGAACACTGTTAAAACAATCATTTGATTAAAAAAAAAAAAATCATCAATTTTTGAGATAGTTTCGAGATATTTAATGAGGAATGTTTCAAATTTTTTTTGCCCTTCAAAGTCTTCAAAACATTTAATTAGGGACCCGTAAAACCAAAATTGATGCTTTTGTTGTTTAAATTGCAAGAAACCGGTAAAATTTTCATAAATTGCGAGTATTTTTCATCATTTTTGATTTATGATCTTCTTTGAAATAGCTATTTGTATTCTTGTTTGATGCTTTCGTCTACTTCCATATAATTACTCGTAAAACTTTTCGACGATCTGTATTAACGCGTCTCTACGTAATATTATTTTATTTTACTTATTTCTTAATTTATGAATTTCCCATTTTCCATTCGTTAGCTTTCTACGTAGAACTTTTAAGCTGTTATTTTCCTCTATAGTGCGTTTAATCCAAACAGTTTTATTCATTTCTCTTAGAGTGTGGCTGTCTGCATTCTTATCGCTTCTCATTTGTCTTCTTTGATACAGCAGCGTTTTAGTATATATGGACTTACTTTCCTATCTGAGTTTTTTTTGACAGTGCACTCAGTGTGCTTTCTTGTAAGGCGTTTATGATGCAATTATTCAAGTAATTAAGATTCGTTCTCGGAGTTTCATGAAACCTCATTTTTAAGGTACATTAAAAAAATTTGTTATTAGGGACAGTTCTCCCCTTCATTTTTCTGTGTTCTTTTTTGTTTAAATTGCAAAAAAAACCGGTCGAATTTTCTTAAATTACTATTTAAAAGTATTTTTCATTGCTTTAAAAAAGCATATATTAAGCATAAAACTTTCAAAAAATCTATATTGTACTATTGTCAAAATTCCAGGAAATAATATTAATTTGTTTATGAGAGATACAATTAATTTATTAAAAAGTTCCATATGTAAAATACAATTTGATCAGTTCGTGTTATCATAAAAAATTTATGGGTTTCATATTTTATATATGTATTTCGAGCATACCCAATTTAGACTATTTTCACTTTAAAACGGCATCTAAACAAGACAATTGTATTATTTTTAGGGTTATTTTTTTGCAAAAAGTAAAGATATGAAGATGTCATTTAACTTACTGTTGCAAACTTCTTTAATTGAACAAAAAACATTAATAATGAATAATGGAAGTGTAAATTTATTAATTTTTATTAAAAACTTCCCAGTTGTAAATACTTAGACTAGACTAAAAAATATATTTTTTTTAAAGTTACAATTAATATTGGCTATATTATGTGCTATGATTATATTATATACTAAATTTACTTAGCAGTTGGAACTGAGTTCAGCGAAAAGAGTATATTTATTGATTTATTTTCAATAAATGCCTGTAGGCTATTGATTATGTTAAAAAAAAAATAGGGCTAAAAGGAACTACAATGTTAAATGAGTTTAATTGTTTCATATGGTGAATGGATACTCAAATATGTGAAAACCGCGAAGTGCTACCATTTAAAGGGGTGCATTTTTGAGAAAGAGGTGAATTTGTCCCAATGCACTAGGGTGCATTTGTGTGAATTGTGTGCATTTTTTGTAGAAATACATCTACAGATAAGTTGTTCAAAATTAAATTTTCTATCAAAATGTGCCCTTTTTAGTCAAAAATAATTTAATTAAAACATTTAATTAAATAAAAATTAATTACATTGAAATATGTCTATAGTAGAAGGTTCTAGAATTAAGCTTAAGTAAGATTTATTTAAATTATTAAGCAAGTTATTCAAAGTTTTCTATTTTTAATGATTTTTGCAATGTTTTACGGCCATTTTTTAAATATCTCATAACTTTTTTTCTTGTATATTTAGGTATCATCATCATAGTCATTATCACATCTTGGCAGATATGTTGCGGTTCATCATTGAGCCTCAGCAGCTCGGTACATGCATTACTTAATGAAAAAGAAAGCTTATTTTCTGTACTTTAAAATAGTCTATTGTAAAATATTCTAGGACCAATGGTAACCAAGATATGGTTCGTCAAATTGTGATGCTTGCACTGATTTGTATATACCTAAATGTAGAAGTAGTTAGGTAAAATAGATCTACCATTGACCTATTTACAGTTAAACAAAACTAGCCAAAGCATGTGAATATGACGTGGACATTTACAATCTCTTTGTAGATTTTAAACAAGCCTATGATTCAATATATAGAGAATTCTACCAAATATATTGGAAGAATTTAGCATACAATCAAAATTAATATGACTAGTGCAAATGACAATAACAGAAACAGAAGCACAGGTTTGTATTCAAGGACAGATCACTGATGCATTTACAATAAGGCAAGGACTGAAACACAGCGACAGACTGGCTCCAACACTCTTTAATCTTATTCTTGAATATGTAATTAGACAGTTAACAGTGAGCGGAAATAACATACTTACAAACCAATCTACCCAATTAGCAGCATATGTAGATGATATAAACATAATGAGCAGAACAGTGAATGCAGCGGAAGAAACCTATGTTGAGTTGAACCAGAGTGCAGAAGCAGTAGGGCTAGCAATAAATACAAATAAAACAAAACTACTCATACAAACCAGATCAAAGAGACAGGCGCAACAACACTTTATTGACAATAAGAACATGTGAATAGATTCACATACCTAGGAATGGATCTGGTCACAAGCAATGAAAAAGAACCTCAAATAAATAGAAGACTTGTGCTGTTAAAGTCTATTTCGCGATGGGCCACATATTCAAACCACAAGATGTATACAGGAAAACAAAACTCCGGTCTATAAAACAATAATCGGCCCATAGTAAGGCCCATCAGGCTGTGAAACATGGGTATTGACACAGAAATCTGCCAATGCATTAGATGTGTTTGAAAGAAAAATATTATATAGGATACTAGGCCCAATAAGTGAAAACAACAACTGGCGAATTAGGTATAATAGAGAAATATACGAGCAATATAGTGAACCAACTCTAGCACAATGCACTAAACTGCAGAGATTATGGTGAGCAGGACTGGTGGTCCGCATGCATGAGAATAGAATCCCCAGAAAATTACTAAACGCAAGAATGCAGGGAAAAAGACTTGTTGGAAGACCTAAAAACAGATGGGAAGACGAAGTCGATGAGGATGATAGGAACTCCCTGGGAACGCATTCATGGAAAAGAATAGCGGTAAATTGAAATGATTGGAGAAGCTTGTTGAAGGAGGCCAAGGCCCGATTTGGGCTGTAGTGCCATTGAATGGATGGAAATGTAGAAGGAAACAATACTCCAGTCACAGTTGTCAGAGATGAAAATCCCACTAAACCTCTAAAAATCACACAAACTAGCTGACTTTTGCAGAGAATGTTAATTTTGAGACCCCAAAAAAGATACAAACAAGTTTGCCACTTCTACCTCCAGGCGTCCACCAAAAACCGCTCCTTGTAGTGGGAGGGGAAACCGAAAAAATCGATTTACCAAGAATCTCTATGCAATAGAAAAAAATTTTCAAACAAGAAATGTAGCTGAGATAATGTTGAGCAAAAATGTGTATTAGAACTTTTTCTATAGAATGAATCATTCTCTCAGAAACAATGCATGAAGTGACCAGCAATTTTAAATATGTTATGAGTGCAAAATCAATTTTTTAAATAAAATTTGTGTCAATTCGATAGTTTTTAATCAGTGTCCTATCAACGAAGATTAAAATGGATTTTAAAGATGAGGAGTACAGATTTGTACGCAATTATTGCATGTTTCTCTAAATAGCAAAAATCATTCAAAGTAGAAAATTTTGAAGAACCGTGTATTGCTTAAAATTAATGCTAGAGCCTTTTATAGTAGGTTATTTTAGAGGTAATTCATTTTTCTTTTAATTTAAAATGGGGAAAATGGCCCAGAAATGCTGTGAGAGGCAAGATTTGAAAAATTGTATCTCAGATATTTTAAATCCTAAAGACTAAAAAAGGATAAAAGTTTTTTTCTGTAAAGCAATGCCTATACCTATACCCTCATAGAAAAAGGTTATGAGACATAGAAAAATCGCGTGTGTTCAGGTTTATTTTGCTTTGTTCTTCGAATATATTTTTGTCAAAAAAAAAATTAACCTTAAAAGGTTACATTTTGATAGGAAATATAATTTTGAACAACTTTTCTGTAGATATTTATGTACGAAAAGTGCATAGGATTCACCCAAACGCAACCTAGTCTGTAGAGACAAATTCAGCCCTTTAAATGGTAACAATTTGTGGTATTTCATATTTATGGATCCATTAACCACATGAAACAATAAAACCCCTTTAACATTGCAGTTCCATTTTAAAGTACCTAATCAATAGCCTGTGCATAAATATCTATAAAACTATCTACATTTGAACTGTAAGTGGGTTGAAACTTTAGTGCAAGAGTGTTTTTTCAAGAAATTTTATTAAAATCATGGCTTTTAAAATAAGACTAGTTGTGTTAATCATTCAGAGGTTTTTTACTGTACATCTGATAAACACATACTAAAAGAGAATAGAGAACCAGTAGACAAATGGAAAAAAGAAACTGTTTGAAATTTGGGATTCCAATTAAATAGAAGGAACCAAAAAACTATTGATGATTGCCACATTTGTCTAATGAATGTAAACAGTATGGAATAGAATAATTCACATAAGAGGACATATCCCAATTGGCATTCAGCAAGATAACCTATTCCATATTCAGAAGCACTATAACTCCAGTATTGATTTGCATAACCTATATATACCAGAGAATGATGTTGAAATATCTTCTGATGAATTGATGATAGTGGATTTGAAATATACTTAGCATGAAAGAAACTTAAACCTTTAGCCTTTAAACCTTTCAAAGAAGTCTTTTAATTGGTTGCTTACAGACAAAAATCTTATTTTGCTGGGAACAAAGTTAAAACATAAGGTGCAAGAGTAGACAGGCTATGTTTACATGAATGGCCGGAGTATTAAAAGATACCAACTTTTTATGACATTCATAATAAACTCACCCAAAATGAAGTTTTTAGATTAGACAGAAACTAAAGTAAATAATTATTTTGGGTAATGCATTTATAAATATTCCTTTTATACATTAAAATGGTTTTTATTTGTGTATTTATATGTTGTAAGTATTCAAAGTAACATTTATGCATAAATAGTTTATTCATAAGGGTCTCATAAACAAGAGTGTCTTTATTAATAAAAAACAACTAATAAAAACCAGTGATGCCTAATGCAAGGAATAACCAAGAAACTAAAAGTTTATATTTAATATACTAACTGTCTGTTGGATTAAGTTTAATTTCGTCCTGCCATTGTGCTTTTTCTATCAATCGGGCTAGCTTCAAAAGATATGGCAATATAATATTTTTATGTTGAAGATCAGATTCCAAAAAATAAATTCCGAGGGCTATGACGGCATCCTGTTGTCTAGAACTTAGAATAAATGTACCATTTTGTGGATCTGAAGGACACAATGAAAACAAAGTTTGTATCTAAAAATGAAAAAATTAGTAAATTAAAGATCAAAGTTCTAAGTTGTATATATTCTAAACTTACTTTACTCCAACGAGCATTTTTTATACAAGCTAAGGATCGTGCTAAATGTTGTACTGTTTTATGAAAAAATAATTTATCGTCTCTAGTCATTGTGTATAATTCAGAATCATTTAATATTATTTCAATAAATCCCAATCATTTCGAATACAATTTATTGGCTGTGCTAAATGGTATTATTCAATAACTTTGACTTGACAAATACTGACATTTCTACTACCCAGAAGTCAGCGTCATGTCATTTCTTACTAACGTAAAGTTAGATACGTTTCTAGGAATTCTTGTCTTGTCATAGGCGGACAAATATTTGATCGACTAAGGGATGGAGGGACTTTTAAAATCAAATAAAAACTTCAATGCATAAAAATTCCTTTTTAGAAGCATTAATTGAATTAAAATATTAAGTATGAATTATCAATGAATGAAAAAAAGTTTAGGGCAATCGCTAAACTTAGCTTCGGTACACTATAACTGTTGTTATGAGAAAATTCGATGTAACAGAGATACAATAGCCCTAGGTCTACCAGGATAAATAGCTTGGTGTTAAAATGTGTTAGATTAAAATTAAATTAAATACCGCTGTTGAATTTCTGTTCTAGCGATTTAACGACGCTAAAGACACAGAATAACAAACAATCAGAACGCCGACTTAAGTATGTATTGTGACTGGTCTGTTTGAAAAAATAAGTACGCGCATCTCGTTCGGAATCTCAGACGGAACCAGCCATGTTTTAATCTGAACCAGTGCTGTTCATTATATGGTGTGCATAGAAAAATTAACCCGGTTTAATTTATTTACGCAACTATAGACATAATATGCACTATTTTATTCGTACTTTTAGTTGAAGAATTTAAATTACAATTCTGTCGTAGCGTGCCACATTTTTCTCAATTCGAGACTATGTTTCGTGCTGACGTGCACGCGATTGCGTGCTGACAAACTTCAAAGGTGACATCTGAGAGTGGGCATTCTGATTGTTATTTATTCTGTGGTAAAAATAAAAAACATAGTATGAATAGGTACCTGTTTAGGTAGGGTTAAAGGGATAACAAGGCATACACTTAGACAATGTAAGACAATTCTAAGACAATGTGCGTAGACGATGAGGAATTCCAACAGGAAGTAACCTGGTAGAATAACAAGTTTACAAATCAAAGGACAGAAGTTAGACGAAATTTTAATTTTGCCAAAATATCAAGTGAGTGATTAGCGCAAAGATCCGATTGAATATAATTCAACTGCGAGGAGATATAACAGACTGTAGAAATATTAAGGTTCCATAAATTTTCTCCAAGGAAATTCAGATAAGTATACTCGAATTCCTAAAGGAGTCAGATAACTACACACAGAATTGTAAAAAACCCTGAAACAACTTTTCAGGGGTACAGATTGATCCAATATTTCTCCATAAAAGAAATGAACTATTACTATTTTTTATGATACTACAGGATAACTAAGAAACTGGAGTACATACCAAAAGTATAAAGACTTTTCGTAATCTAAAATAAAACTAGACTCATAGCAGCACACTGGACTAGAGACCATAAATTATATTTTTAGGGAAAACTTGCGTGTAGAGAAAGAAGTGATAGATCATGACAAACAGGATTTATTCAATACACAGCAGCATATATGATGATACTACAGACTAGCTTAGAACTGGAATGCATACCAAATACTTCAATATCTCGTACAGAGGGTGAAATACTTTCTATTGATAGCCAGAGGCTGTCCGCAGGGGGAGTCTTATCTCCTCTCTTGTCGAATCTGGTCATGGATAGCTAGATCCAGCAACGACAGACATCATGTCCTCAGCTATGGGGATGATTTGGTCACTCCTAGCCCATGGTTAATTTAATGGCACCGATAGAGATACAGGCTCTGACTGCAGTTACAGCATGGACTTGAATGGAATATCAAAGAGATCGGGGAAAGCAGAAATCAGCTCAGAGTCATAACAAGCTTTCTTAATGGATATGCGCCAGTGAAGGGACACCTGCAGACAAAGGGGTTGTTCATCAATCATATCTTGCAGGACTGCGAGGTATTATATTGCAGATGGCAAACACTTTTTGGAAATTATTAAGTGCCTTCAATTTACATGGTAGCGATCTACTAGATCTACAAGATACACCATAAGTCAATTGGCTGAAGAATGACTGGTTTATAACAGACGGCTCCCGAAAAAATAAAAAAGCGTAGATAATGATTCTTAGCACTTTATTTTGAAATCGCTAGGTGATGTCTAAATTACTCTTACTGCTTGGTGTTGAACTCTTCTTTTTTCTTTTTAAAATAGGCCCTCTAGAGTAGAAATATATGATTTCAATAATTCTGTGTATTTTCTTAGAAAAATTTTAAAGCAAATAAATAAATGGGGAAATTAATCAGAAAATTAAAATAACAATAACTAATAATGACAATACCATAAAGTAAGAATACCTATTTTAAGTGTGATTTGAGATTAAATAATTTATTTACTTAATGTGTAAGATATTTTTCAGATCGAGCTATAAAAGATTTTACTTCTATCAGCATTTCCTTGAGTGCAATATTTCTTTACCTCGTCGTCTTTGATAACCTTCGTGGTTGCAGATGAAATCTCAAAAAGAAATATTTATAGACCACGGCCTATAAACTCTGAAAACAACGTACACTTCTACTCTTACAAACCACCGACAGTGAAAGCCTAAACTACACACATTCCTTCCAGAATATTATCGGTGTAGGAGCTGATCAAGTATTATATTATTATAAGCAGATTAATTACAATGATTTACCCACTCCCCTTTTCAACTTAAGTAAGCAAAGCTCTTATCACTCCCTTCCATATTACGTAAACATTGTTATATGTCAATATGTATTTCAATAAGATTTCCATTGTACTACATACTTCAGAAGCTAACATATTTCCTGCAAAGTCGAAATTGGATCTTTCTAAATATTCGTTAATTTTAGCGCCACTTTCAAATGTAAAATGTGCGAGTTTCAATACATGTAAAAAAAATACTGCTGACGTAATAACCAACTTGAACCTCCTCACTGCTATATCATCAAAAATAAACAAAGCAGACTTTTCCGCCTCCTACGGCACTTACGTAATACTTGAACAGTCCCTGAGTACACGTTAGGATCTCCGAATTAGTAAATAATTTTCATTAGATTTTTCAAACCTTAATGTTTTAAAACCCTATAGAAATTAAATTTGCTACGTCAGTAGATGTTCGAGAACTTGCGTTGTTCGGTGACCTTGCTGCTTGCTGGATATACATTTTATTTTGTCTGCAATAATATGTAAAATACATATTTAGTATAATTAATAATATTTTCAATTACTACGAATTAATCTACAATCGAAAAGAAACATGTCTCCAAATATTTCGTTAAAAGACACATCTAAAATATGCCACTGTGACATATATTTGTTCCAATTTTAAAAGGTTGGCATTACAATTTGATTAAAATGTATGTAAAATGTGTTGCATATATTCGAATAGTAGAACTTGAAATGTAATAGAGTAAGGTTGAAGTTAAATAATAAAAGTATTTATGGTTAAAAATTTTAGTTATTTACTATACCTCTTTAAAAGATAACAGTCCAACGAAAATAATAAGGTACGTGATTTCTGTAAACGTTTATAGGTATTCAAAAGAATTTCGGTGTCACAAGCCTTTGACATTGAAACTTTGGATTCATTTGAAACATGGATTTAGATTCTGAAGATGAAAATGTAATGGAAGAGGATTATTATTCCTTTTTAAACATACCTAAAGAGGTAAGCGATTATTTAACGATAGTTTTATTACATATTACATCACATAATTTCATGAATAAAGTTTTCCCTGAACTAACCTCAAAAGATTGTCATAATAAACATTTTAGGCCTCCAAGGAAGAAATAAATAATGCTTATAGAAGATTGAGTCGAATTTACCATCCTGATAAACATGTTGACCCAGAACTTAAAGAAAAAGCTGAAATTATGTTTAATAAAACCAAAAAGGCTTATGAAGGTATAATACACATATTAATCACATTAAAAAGGAGTATGCTTAATGCAGAATACAATTTGATTTACACATATCTACTATTTACACATATCTACTATATCTACTAATTATCAAATATATTATTTTCAGTTTTGTCAGATCCTCATAGAAGAGCTATTTATGACTCTCTTGGCACTAAAGGTTTAGAAACAGAAGGTTGGGAAATAGTGCAAAGAACAAAAACTCCTGCAGAAATAAGGGCTGAATATGAACAGCTAGCTGAAGAACGAGCAGAGAGGCTTAAAAAACAAGCTACCAATCCAACAGGCAATGTTACTATAGCTGTTAATGCTACTGATCTTTTTAATCCTTATTATGATGAGTTTTTGGATGAAGAATATGAAAGGTAATGAAATATTGACTCTTTAATCTTTTAGATCAATTTTTTGTCTTTACCTGAATGAAGCAATTAGATTTCTTTATTTATTTTAGTGACTTTCTAACTCAATTTCCAAACATAGAAGTATCTTCAATGCAATTCAGTCAATCTGTAGATTTCCCTCTAACTCAAAAAGACTCTTGTACACTTTCTGGGCAACTACAAACCCAAAATGGAACTGGAGGAGGAGGAATTAATTTAAGCTGGAGACACATATTTTCACATAAAAGCTGGGCAGAGATGGAAATGACAGCAGGTAGTATTTTTATATAAATTACGATTTTATTTATAAATGGGAATTGTAATGGAAATGCAATGTAGAAAGTGAGACCTATTGCCATTAATGTTAACTCATTGGACAACAAATTAAAAATCCCCCTTATAAAAAGCATTTTTTAACAACTAAGTTCAAAGATTTAGGCCCATGTATTAGTAACAAAACATATTTTAATACTTTAAGTGATTTAGTTTACACCAAAAACTGAAACATAATCTCTTCGTTAGTTTGTAAATGTTCCACACAGTCTGAGGGCATATTAGACTTACACCTGATTATATTTTTGAATATATTAAATATTTCTTCTTCTCTACTGTTATCCCTCTTCCTATAGGAAATGTAACTCCACATATAGATGGGTTAAAAGATATAACAGATATCTTTTTTTTTAAGTATACCTCAGTGAAAAACTCTTGGGATGATAGTTTTAATTAGAAGAATAAATAAAATACATAATAAGAAATCTTCAGAAGTTCCATATAAACATGTACCTAATGTTACTCTTACTCTGTACCTAGTACTCTTACAATTAAACCAGCACAAACCCAAAATAAACATCCTACAAGTTTATGCTCCAACTGCAGACAAACCAGAGAGTGATATTGAAACTTTCTACGAAGACCTAGACAACATTTTAAAATTCATTAAAATGCAAGATGTAACAATTATAATGGGAGACTTTAACGCAAAGGTTAGGGAAGAAAAAGTAGAAAAATGTACAGGAGGATATGATCTGGGCAACAGAAACAAAAGGTGTGACAGGCTTATCGAATTTTGCCAAAAACAATAATTTTGTTGTAGTTAATACATTGCTCAAAATGCCAAAGAGAAGACTATATACCTGGAAGTCACCAGCAGATCAAGAAGACAGAATTGTAAGAAACCAAATAGACTATGTATTAGTTAGACAAAGATACAGGAATGCAATTATATCACAGGAATACTAATATACAGAACTATATACAGGAATAAATTATATCATATATTAGTTAGACATAGGATCAGATCACAACCCAGTAGTGACCACCAAAATTAGGTTCAAAATGAAAGTAATAAAACGAATAACAACAAATGTAAAAATCGATACAAGTAAATTAAGGAACCCACTAATAAGGCAACACCTGTCAGATGAAATCAACAACGGATTAATGAATGTTAAAGAACAAATTCTGCAAAATACTGAGACAGAGAAAAAATGGTTATTAATAAAGACAGAAATAGATAAAAGTCAAAAAGAAATTCTAATACCAACTAGATATAAAAAGAAGCAATGGATGACGGAAAAATTTTTAGATTTAATTTAAGAAAGACTTCAATATAAGAACAAAGATAATCAGATGTACAAAAATGTGGATAAACAAATAAAATACAGAATTAAAAAAGCAAAAGAATAATGGTTAAAAAAACAATGCACAGAAATAAAAGAATACTAGAAAAGACATGATAGTTTTAACACACATAAAAAGTTAAAGAATTAATTCACAACAATAGAACAAGAAAACTGGGAATACTGAAAGATGCAAATGGGAAACTTGTGTTGAATACTAACAACAAATTGCCCAAAAAGATGGACAGAATACATCAATGAACTGTTCAAAGACAATAGAACAGAACAGATGGAGATAGAAGTAGAAGAGGATATGGTTTTAAAAATATTAAAGGAGGAAATTAAAATGGCATTAAAAAACAGCAAAAATGATTAAGCATTAGGTCCAGACCAAATCTCTATAGAAATTTTAAAATGCATGAATGATGAAACCTTTGACATTATAATAGACTTATTTAACTCAGTATACAAAACAAGACACATACCAAAACAATGGATACTCTCCACCTTTAGTGCTATCCCTAAAAATACAAACGCTAAATATTGCAGTGAATACAGAACAATATCACTTATAAGTCACATTCTCAAATTATTCCTGAAAATAATACATGGTCATATAAATAAAAAACTGGAAGAAGGAATAGATGATAGTCAGTTTGGGTTCAGAAACGGACTAGGAACTAAAGAAGCATTACTTGCTTTTAATGTGTTAGCTCAAAGATGCATGACTTACAAATAATAACAAACCTCTACTGGAATCAAAGAGCACTTCCATAATAGATAACGAACCCAGTTCAGAAATTGAAATCAGGAGAGGAGTTAGGCAGGGATGTATTATGTCCCCATTACTAAATGTATATAGTAAAGCCATTTTTGAAGAAGCATTACAATCTCAAAGTGAAGGAATAATAATTAACAGAAGATCTATTAACAACATAAGATATGCAGATGACAGTGTGATTATGGCAAGCTCTGCTGAACAACTCCAATTACTGCTAAACAAAACAAACAGTTTCTGTGAAAAATATGGACTAAAAATGAATATAAAAAAGACCAAATACATGATAATAACAAAGAAAACAAATATACCAACAAAAATACATTTGGGAAATGAACCGATAGAAAGGGTTGACAAATACAAATACCTAGGAACCTGGATTTCAGACAATAATGATCAAACAACCGAAATAAGAGCTAGGATAGAAATAGCAAGAAATGCGTTTGTAAAATGAAAACATTTCTCTGCAACAAAGATCTTAGATTAGAACTGAGAGTAAGAGCACTGAGATGCTATGTGTTTTCTATACTGCAATATGGTCTTGAAAGCTGGACATTGAAGCAAGAACACATAAATAAGTTACAGTCCTTTGAAATGTGGTGTTACAAGAGGATGCTTAGAATTGCATGGACACAAGAAAACTAACGCGATAGTTTTCTCACATATTGCGAGAAATGGGCAAAGAATGCGAAATAATAAACTGAACAAAGATAAGAAAGTAACAATATCTGGGACACATAATGAGGAGACAACGATATGAACTGCTAAGGCTGATAATACAGGGAAAGATAAGAGGAGGAAGGAGTATAGAAAGAAGGAGAGTGTCATGGTTGAAGAATTTAAGGGACTGGTTTAAATGCAGTTCTATAGAACTCTTTAGAGCAGCAGTAGATAAAGTAAATATAGTGATGATGATATCCAACTTCCGATTGGGAGACGGCACTTAAAGAAGAAGAAGAATGTTAATAGGCCTGGCACCTGCATGACCTACATTTTTTCTTTCTTTTCGTTTCTTCTAGCTTCAGTTTTTTTCTTCTTGTAACAGTGTCATAGATTCTGCTTTTTTATAAGATTTCTATCAAATTTAATTTAATTTTTATCTTCACCTTATTGCAATGTATTACAAATTGTATCTCACAACTAGTGAGAGTTATCACAAAATGAAATTGCATACATTACAAGAAGTGCTCTCTTACAATATGTCAAGCAGAATATTAAAATAGATTTTTGTATTCAAGAGTGTCTGAAAAATGTCTTACTTCAGCCTAAATATTTATTGCATTGATAACTTTTAGTGTAAACAAGTGGTACTGAAAATTCTGAAGTCTACAATGTGTGTATAACAATTTTAAACTACAAACAGTTCATTAAGCAACTGGTGAAGCACAACAACAAACTTTGATATTAGTCTTGTTAAAGAAGAAGCTAATATTCCTTTACCTGGAACAAATAATTCTGCTGTATACCAAAAAGTCGCATAGTGGAGAATGTTTGAAAATGAGAACAGACAATTTAGCTCCATGGGAAAACATTCCAGGTTAAAGGCAAGCAAAAAAGTTATCACAACTTTTGTCTGTTACCCAGAAATACCCCCTCACTCTGCTAAATATCTGCAACAGGTCTTTTTAGTATTACTTGACCAGTAATAAATGTCTCTCTGAAATAGATACTAGGGTTTCGTAAAATCCTAAATATATTAAGACTAAACATAAATAGAGTAAGTATGCATAAAAGAGCTCACAGTATGAAAAGGTCTATGAAATCAAACAAATCCTTTGAAATGTACAGTTTTAAAAACTGATTCTGATACAATAGATTATTTTAATATGATGTAAACTTCTTATTGATTTAGTTAATACATATATTTCATTTCTAGGTAGTGGACCAGCATTATCTTTTAAAGGATTTAGGACACTCACTCGGAGGTTTTTTTGGAATGGTGGTACAATTTTACAATTTACTCCAGAAGGTATTAGACCTGGAGTAATGTCAAGTAAGAAACCATTCTTGAAGTACAATACCAGTTTACTATAAGATTGATTATTTTAGCTTTAGCAATGCAAGTGGATAAGCATTCTGTGGGATACCTATCGTATCAAGGAGGTGTTAGATCTGCTTTCACCACACAGATTATTAGGGATACAGGTAATGTATATATTTTTAATGTTATCGGAAGTTTATTATTTCTGTTTAAGAATGCAAAAAAAATTATAATTATCTTTGTGGACCAAACTATGGCCTAAGTATTTATTATTTGTTTATCATTTTTTCTAAACCTTAATTTTGAAAGGACAGCAATAATTTTAAGACCTATTATTAAATACCCAGTTTTCTGCAGAGCAAAACAGAGAAAAACGGGATATACACCCCACATTTTTTAAGTTATAAACAGTTGTTGCGTCCAATCTAATTAAAAAAAGTCTATTCACTACCAGATAAATGTCTGCTATCTAACTACTGATTTATCGTGCTTGGTCCCAATTACTTTAATTAGAAATCGCATAATGTCATCAGTAGTACTATCAATCAGCTAATCTCTTTTCCCAACAGCCCCTATCGTTAACAATGTCCCTGTTCGCTAACATTGGCTCTAAGTGGTTCAGTTTAAAGTTGGCTTTACATATTCTTTTATTTCTTGGGACTAGTTGGTTTTTCTGTGGAAGTACTGCGGAGGATGAACACAACTGCGAATTTGGTCAACATAGTGAAGGACCGTAAGCTGCAGTACTTGGGATATATAACACGAAATCAAGGCAGATACGAGCTACTTCAATGCATTTTGCAAGGTAGAATTGAAGGAAAAAGGGCCCCAGGACGAAGAAGAATATCCTGGCTTGCTAACCTGAGAGCATGGTATAGAAAGACCTCAACACAGCTATTTCATATAACAACCAACAAAGTCATCATAGCCAGAATAATCGTCAACGTTCGGAACGGACAGGCACCCTAAGAAGAAGTTCATTTTCTGATGTTGGTTTGGGATTTTAACCAAAGCTTCCCTTATTGTTTCAGTTTTATATAATGGTATAGCTGTGATTGGTTTTCAGGATTTGATGTCTGTTTTACTCTAAATATTGTAAACTTTTGGATTTTGGAATGACGTCATTTGCATTTCTTAGTGTTGATCCTATTTACTGTATTGGTATATATGTAGTTATAGTAAAATATCTTTAAATTCTTTGGGAAATTAAGTCCCAGTTCTCCATTTATCTTCGGAATGATATCTATTGTTGCATCAATTGCTATTGTAATTGACGTAACATAGTGCTATTGCTTATTAAATAACACATGTTCACTTCTTTGAGAAATCGCAGTATAAATATGACTAAATGAGTAAATGACTAAAACTAATGTAATATTTTTACTAAATATATTTTTATCATTTGTTACAGAGAAAAATAGATACAATTTTTCAATACAAGTCGGCTTACCACATTCTTTTGTTCTTTTACAATATACAAGGAAAATTTTAAGTCAGGAATTAAAACTTAGGATAGCAATAAAGTAAGGATACCATTTTTTTAGTAGAGTTTATTGTTTCTGATTCGATTTTTTTTTAGAGCAGGCACATTTGGGGGCGTTATAGAATATGGGGCAGAGAAGAAGATATCAAAACATAGTAATCTTGCTTTTGCTGTTGTGTGTGGAGTGCCTTCGGGAGTGAAACTAAAAATTAGGTAATAATTATATCAAAGTCTTCTATTAGACTTTTTCTAATCTTTAAATTGTCATCATATATGACATATAAAATTACATTATTAGAGGAATTTTATTTTCAATGTATACTTGCCACTGTATTATACATATTTCAGCCCTTTTTGCTTTATTACGTAGAGCTTGCTGCAAACAAGATGAGGAACATATCAATTCGTATATTGATGGTTAATATACTACGTTTTCAACAAAATTATTAAATGTTATACAGTATATAGAAAAAATGAATGTAAAAAATTCAACTAAGGCATCTTGACAGCAATAAAATATGCCAACAAGACTGGAAAGGAAGAAGGACTGAGTGAAGATATAAATATCTTATGAGAAGAATGAAGAGACCAAGGAGACAAGTACAGAAAAAGATTTGAAAGATCGAACATTGAGAACTATAGACCTATAATATGGTTCTAAAACCATTTTCTTTTGGCATTTCTATATTATCTACAATATTTCACGAGAATGAACCACAATTTTCATTATAAATATGTTTATTTTGACTTATTCGGACTTCAGAAATATTTAAGGTATTTTGAGATCGGTTTTAGGAGTGGAAGTTGTAACATCAAAATAAACGTATTTTAAATTAAAATCATGGTTAGTTCGTATGATATATAATAGATACCGACCCATAATTTTGTTATCTCATATTCTCATATCAACAAACTTTTCACAAAGATTATCATCAGTAGACTAAATTCTAAACTAACTTCGTGAGAAAGAAGGATTTAGATCAGGATATGATACAGTTACATGTCCTCAAGGTCCTTGTAGAGGACACCACACTATCACCACACTACAGTAAACCACTATCCTTATTATTCGTGAATGATGAAAAAGCATTCACCCAGTCCTTCACCCAGCATAAGATGATTCAAGCTTTAGCAGACTATAAAATATATCATTGATATGTACAATAATAAAACATATAGCTATAAAAACACAACATCCACGAAATACGTATTGGTAGAGATAATCACACAATCAAATTCTACCAGAGATTGACATGGACTATCATCTTTGGTACCTTGCGAAATACGCTGAAATCAAAGCTTCCCATATGTCTTAAACAGAAATTTTTCATTAATTGTGACCTCGCATAGGATGCTAAAATTTAACCCTGACAAAAAGACCATTCAATAAGATAAGAATCACATGTACAATTCAACATTGAATGTTAAAACTAACTCTGAAGAGATTGGATTTCAAATACAGAAATCCTAATAAAATTCCTCTAGCAATAGGGAGCGTACTCCAATAAGATTGAAAATTTGCGAAGCATACACAAAAACTGAATATAAAGTGTACAATATAGAGAGCTATGAAGGTTAAGAGAGGTTAGAATCCACCCAAAAAGTGGACAAATTTATACGCTGAATGATAATGACTCCTTTCTTTCACTCAAGTATTCAAATAAATTACTATTTATAACTGGGAATAAGCCACAATTAAAGATAAAAAATACGTTTATTGACGTTTAAATTTCCAATTCGGAAATCGTTCTCAAAATACCAGTATTTTTGTATTTTGAGAACGATTTCCGAATTGGAAATTGAAACGTCAATAAACGTATTTTTTATCTTTAATTGTGGCTTATTCCCAGTTATAAATAGTAATTAATTTACAATGCCACAAGAAAATAGCTTCAGAACAATATAAAGTATTCAAATAGTTGCAGACTATTAACTATTCTATCAGTGGTACAGTTCCCGTCATATAAAACTGGTACATTTTTTCTTAATGTAAACCTGTGTTCAGACTTGGTTCGTGAATCAATTCGTTGTTGCCATCACAGATAACGGAATTGCACTAAATGTAAATAAAAAAGAACGTTCAAAAATATTAAAAGTTTTTATATAGGTATTATTATTATCATTAACAACAAAACACCGTATCTAATAAATTTAATAACCAGAGAGAGGGTTGCGTTAATGCCCAAAATGTTTAAGAGGATCTTTAAACGTAGGCTATTGGCACAGGGAACATTGGAATGCATCTACTGTAATTTTATAATGTGTCTGTCGCACATCCCTCCTTTTAGCTAATTTGATGCAATATTTCATTGAACTGGCAACGTTACCATAGAGATTAGAATGACATATCTGACAAGATCAACTTACACAACTTGAAAAACACGATTTTCGGTTATAAGAGTTGTACCAGTTTTTTATGACGCGAAGGGTACATTGGACGTCAGCAAGCCATTTTCAGAGTAAATGACACATCTAAGTAGGTCAGTGCCAGAATTACTCTGCTGATAAATCGTAACAGAGAGGTTGACGGATAAGTTAGGTAAAGCTATTGTGGAAAAGGAAGGTTTGTGTTTTGTTAAAATTGATGACTCTCAATATCTATACTAAACACTATTTATTAGATAATTTGCAGAATCTATACAACCTTTATTTTTTTTAGATTGACAAGGGCATCGCAAACCTACTCCTTTCCGATCCACCTTTGTGAAGAAATTATGCCTGCGCCTGTATTTTATGCCACCATAGTGCCTTTAGTGATATATGTAGTAGTTAAAAAAGGATTTGTGGAGCCTTTCTTGCGAGAAGAAAGGAACAAAAAAGTAGAGAAACAAAAGCAAAATAACTACAATAAGCTGTTGGAAAAGCGGCGAGAGGCGATGGCAGCTCAGGATCTTATGCATGCTACTTACAATAGGATAAGAGACGATGAGAGCAATAAGAAAGGATTGGTTATTATTAAAGCAATTTATGGAAGAATAATTAGAGGTGTGTATTCTTTTCAGATACTTCTGGTTTTATTTAAGGTTTTTACATAGTGGTGGATTTCAAGAGTTCTTCAAAAGATTTTAAGCAGTTTTTTTTTATATATTTTAGCTAGAACCTTTTTTTCTACTTTGAGCAACACCTTATTTATTACACCAACAAGTAACCTATCTACGTTGTGTGTATTTGTGGTTTTGTTATATATGTTCTTTTATTTGATTTGGGTGAATGTATTTTAAGCATAAGAACATTGGTGTTTTCATTTTTATGACAAGCCTTTCTACACTTTTGCTGTCTCGCATAACGAGTCATTTTTATTTGTGTGTCTTTCAAATACTAATTAATAACTATTTTTTTTTGGACTTTTGTGTTAATAAATGTTATGATAACTACTAGCAAGAACAAAGCTTTATAGAGAACCTATATATATATATATATATATATATATATATATATATATAAATTAATATGATGTGTTGTTGTTGTATGAGCAATGAGTAAATTTGAATGATATATGTAATGTAAGTATAGGGTTTTTATCGCGGTTCTCAAAGAATTAGTTTGTAAGTACTTTTTTTAAATTATCTTTATTATAAATATTATGAAACAAACCTATCTATCTAATATAAGCAATATCAATTTAAAACAATCTATCTAAAATTTGAAATTCTTACAATTTATTAAATTATTAACAAAATTTGGTACCTTCTTTCACTGAACGCCTAAAGTTTTTCCAAAATTAAAGTTATTATCACCACTCGATATCTTCTTACTAAGCCTTGGTTATCCAACTATGTTAATATGTTCCTTATTAATTATCTCCACTCACCATATAAATATATATTTAACTCCTTGCAATTTCCATATACTTAATGTACTTTGAAATATACTGGATCTTGTGGTTGTATTATTGAATGCTTATTTCAATGAATTAACTTCAAAACTGTCACTATATTACTGTAGTAATAATTAATCTCCAACTGTATTTAACTTAATAATTCATTTAACTTAATCAATGCCTTCTTCTAGCATTGAATAATCTCTTCATAACCTCATAAATAACTGACTTAATAATCCTTAAATTGTTATAACTAACTCCTCAATAATAATCTTGTAACTGATTTAATATCCTCTAACTATCTCACTTAACTCAATTAATAATCTTCTTGTAACTAAATTCTTGAATTATAACTTTACTAACTGATCACTGAACTGGTAACTGAACTTAACTGAACTAAACTGCTAACTCAAACTGACTCCAACTGACTGACTGACTTCTAACTCATAACAAACTGACTCAACTCTAACTCATAACTGACTGCTGACTAACTGACTTCTCCAAATTGCATGGCTTTTTAGATGTTTTCATTGTTTCCAGAATATTCTAGCAACAAATAATGTTCGAATCCTTCTATTTGTTCTATATGAACAATCTGGAAAGATTCCTGCCTGTGATGTATTATGTAAATAGTCCCATTGACATTTCTAGAGTTTTCTATGAACAATTTACTTAACTTTAGGCTCTCCAGATCAGAACTACACTATTATATGTAACTTAAACATTTATATGAACTATATTTTTACAATTTTACATCCACAATTATATTCTAAATTAACATTCCAAAAATAAATAACTTTTTGACTTTGACACTACAGTGTATGTTTGGTTGCATAGCACATGGCTGAATTAAACATATTAAATATTAAATAAAATAAACAAAAAACGTCTTAAACTTAATTCTTATGCTAAATTCTTAAAAATACCCTCATATAATTATTTTTTAATAATATTATCTAATATATAACTTATAAATTACGTCTTCAATTACTATCTAAATAAATCTACTAATCAACACTGCATATCTGGTTGCATATATTTCTAAGTTAATTTATTGTATTTCTATTTTCATTATAATATATATATATATATATATATATATATATATATATATATATATATATATATATATATATATATATATATAAACTAAAAAATAAAGAGATAAAGGAGAAGTATCCAAACAACACAGGAAAAATTTCAAGAACATGTAAGTTTGACACAATGGATGAAAATGGGAAATATTTAGATACATACTATTTAATAAAGTTAAAGAAACATGTGTAAGTAGAAAATATAAAAAAGTATTAAAAAACATGTTATTCGAATAATTAAGTTGGCAAGCAATAAAAAACAAAAAGGATCTTTGAAAATATATATTAAAACCAAAGGACAAATATACAAATGTGTATATTAAAGTAAGACAATAAGCCAAATAAATAGTCTTCTTCTTCTTTTATATACACATGACTGTCTGTTTTTCAATGTACCTCCAGTAAGTTGTCGTTCCATCGATTTTGTGGTCTTTCTTACTGATCGTCGTCCTATTGGGGAACCGTCTCTTGCCGTCTTTACTACTCTATTTGTTGTCATTCGGCTGATATGATCGTTCCATTCTACTCTTTTATTTCTTACCCAGTTCTTGATGTTCTCCATCTTGCATCTACATTATATATCTGTACTTATTACTGTACTAAGCGTCCCATAGTGTCTTACCATCAATTTTTTTAAGTGTTTTTATCTCTGCTGTTTCTAACATCCTTTTTGTCCTCTCTGTGTCAGGTCTTCTTTCTGCCGCGTATGTCATTATTGGTCTGATTACTGTTTTGTAAATTCTGCCTTTCGTTTCTTTCCCGATAGTTTTATCTTTACAAATTGTTTCATTCAGGCAGTCTGCGGCTCTGTTTGCTCTATTCACTTGATCTTCCACATCAGTTTCAAGCTTTCCGTAGCTAGAAAATGTGATGTCTACATATTTAAACTCCATCACTTAATTCTGACCTGCCAGCTCCAATTTACATCTAAGTAAATTTTCTTTTTTTGGGGAAATTAACATGTTACATTTTCTGGTGGTTATATTAAATTGGTGCAGCATACGTTGTAAATCATCTTCACTTTGAGAGAGTAGTATTGTGTCGTCTGCATAGCAGATTATTTTAAGTTGTTGTTCTTCCATTTGATGTCCTTTTTTGGTTCTTACTTTTTTATTATTTCATCCATAATAAGGTTGAACAATAGAGGACTCAGGAAATCTCCCTGTCTTATCCCATTACCAGCTTCAATAGAGTCGGTTAGTTCTTCTTTTACTTTTATTGTGTTGTTTTGGTAGATATTTTCGATCGTTTTGATTATTCCTAGAGGATATCTCTCTTGCGTACAGTAAGTGGATAACGTCTTTTAATTTGACCCGGTCAAATGTCTTCTTAAGATCCACGAAACATAGATATGCAGGTTTGTTATATTCTAATGATTTCTCTTGCACTTGCCACATTATAGATATAGCATCGGTGCATGATCTTCCCGACCTAAAACTTTGTAGTTCTTCTGCTAGTGTGATAATTTCATTCAGTTAATTTGTTATCACTTTGATTGTTAATTTAAGTGTTGTGTTTAATAAATTAATTCCTCTGAAATTTTCCGGGTCCGATTTGTCTCCCTTTTTGAAGAGAGGAGAGAAATAAATAGTAAGAGAATAAAAAAGAAGGGTTGGGAAGAGTTTGGAGAGGACATACAGATTGAACCAAATTAAAACGGAACATACAATTTAATACATGTCTGTTTGAACTGCATTTGAAATAGTGGAACAATATAAAACTTGGACAAAAATAAATCCATACCTGGGTATAGACATTGTATAAAATATCGTTCAACTATCTGTCTCACAACAATATTGTTTGCGTAAGACGGGTTTGTCTAAGGAAACGATAATAGTTCAGGAAATGAATCTCGAAAAAAGTTAAAACCTCGCAGTTTTTTCGTCCTGCATGTATCCAGTTGAAATTTTAACAGAAGGTAGGTGATAGCCCAAGGATCAAAATCTATATCGAACCGAAGTGCGCTAAAGGGTTTTAGGGGTGAAAACTACCCCTAATTGTCAAAAATTATAAAATAACATATTAAACCTGAATATGGGTAAGATTTGGTTTGAATTAGTTAAATAATGATTATTTTATACTTTTGAATAGAGTTCCATCATATTTCAACCCTTAAAAAGCAACCCTTGTTAGAGGTTAATGTAAAAAAATTACTAATTCTAAAAAAATGATTTCGCCTTGGATCGATTTGGATAAAAATTTGGATTTAAGCTCAATTCACCCGCTGCTTTATAGTTTATATCATGTCGACGAACCCTGATTGTTCTAAGGGGTGAAAACTACCCGTAATTGTCAAAAATTATAAAGTAACATATTAAACCTGAATATGGGTAAAATTTGGTTTGAATTAATTAAATAATGATAGTTTCGTGCTTTTGAATAAAGTTCCATCATATTTCAACCCTTTAAAAGCGACCCTTATTAGAGATTAATATAAAAAAATAGTAATGCGAAGAAAATGATTTCACCTTGGAACGATTTGCATAAAAATTTGGACTTGAGCTCAACTCACCCTCTGCTTTATAGTTTATGTCATGCCGATGAACCCTGATTGTTCTTAGGGATGAAAACTACACCTAATTTTCAAAAATTGTAAAATAATATTATAAATCTTAAGATGAGTGAAATTTGGTTTGGATTAGTTAAATATTGATTTTTTTATACTTTAAAATACAAATTCATACATTTTCAACCCTTAAAAATCAATTGTTATGAGTGCTATAGGTGAAAACAATTTTTTGCCAAAATTTTGCAACTTTTCAACTTTTGAAAATCACCCTTTACAACATTGCAGTTTTTATAAACTAATTTATAAGATATAAATTGAAAAAAGTAGAATTAAATACAAAAAAAATTATCAACATAAAAAGGCACCATATATTCTTATACATTTACATAAATAGTAGAAAATATTTACATTTATAGGTAAAACAATTATAATATTAATTTTATTCGTCATCAATTACATCTTCATCGTGATCTATGTCATCCTCATCTTCAATTATTGGTGGACTATTATTGCACCCTTCACCTGAGCACCCAGGACAAGTAGAGTTACAGTATAAACCAACTTTTCTGCGCCCACATAAAACACCGCATCCTTTTTTGCATTGCCAAAAAATAATTTTCAAAAGTTCATCGAGTGCAGGTTGTTTGTTCATGCGTACGGGTAATAACAAACCATCTTTGGAATACCATCCCCAATCTGTTGCTCTAATATTTTCATTGCC